AACTGAAGATTAGAGACTGGCGAGTACGTGATCTGAAGCGGTACTTAGTGATTACAAGTCCGTCTACATATGTGTGAAGACTGCTCAAGCCTCAACGAATGCTGAAGAGACCTTCAGGTCATTCCAACATTCAACGATCAAAGGAAGCTTGCTTAGCACGACTGTTGTTGTCTTGTCCTTATGCACACAAAGGACAAACCCATACCTTTATAATCGTTGGTACGGTACGAAGCCGACTACTCGACTCTATTGTCCACCAACTTTAGATAAGGATGCTTGCTCATGAATAGTGTTTTTTGTACTATTCACTGTAGCAAAAGATAAACCTTTCTCTTAAGGCTTGACACGCACTCTAACCCTACCATATTGCATTAAATGTTCATTTAATGCACTGGGTATAAATAGAAGTGTTTCTTCTCCATGCAGAGTGCGCACAACTCACTTTCAAAACCTAATTCTTACTTTGAGCATTTTCTAGCTTAAGTAAATGATCTTCTCTTTACATCATTTCTTTTCTTATTTGCTAAGAACTCGTGTGTAACAAAAGATTGTTTAGATATGTTTTTCTTACCTTATATTTTCGCAAACAATCTTGTAAAATCTGTATTGATCTTATTTATCAATATATATTTTAATTTGAAATTATTGTGTTTGTATTCATCCCACCCTCTTCTACAAACTATTGTACGTATCTTGTAGACCCTCAAGGGACCAACAATTTTGGTTTCTATTCTGATGTACAGGTGAATAATGTCATTATTCATGTGTTTCGTGTCAGGTGGAGAATTAGAGGAGTCAGACAAAGTATTTGATGAAAGTTGTCTACGAGATTTCATGTCTTGGAATTCAATTATTAATGGATATTTTAAGAGTGGCAGGTCATGGGAGGCCTTAAGATTGTACCAGCAGATGGAGCAAGAGGGGACTAAGCCGAATGAATTACCATAATAGGGGTGATATCTTATTGTGCTTAGTAAAGTGTGGGAATATGGAGGCTGCAGGGAGTTTATTCGACAAGATGGGTAAGAAAACCATCATTGTCTTGGACCACCATGGTTGTTGGTTACAGATAGGGAAATCCCATTCATTTGAAGGTGTTGCAAATGAGAAAGATTAGACAACCAATCCAGGTTTTCAATCGAGTAAGAGAAGAGTCTAACTCTCAAGGGAAAGATTTTGCGGGTTTGTGAGGTTTCCGAACTATGAAGTAAAGGTTCCATGAAGTGAGTTGTAGGAACGATACGGTCGAGACACCTTAAGTCGGTCAAGGAACCAATGAACATGAGAATGATTTCATTGAAAGAACTATAACCTAGATTAAGGGTCTCATTGTCCTCAACTTAAGGTATGCCCCACATAAGGATCTGCTATGATATCATTTAGGGGCATTTTTTTTTTCTTTTCCCCATGGGCATCCGAATTCTCAGGACCGGCCCTGCTACTCGACATTATATAGCAATCTGTACATGCCTAACTCATCACCCGTCTAGCTTCCTCTCGGCTCTAGGACAAACTATATCCATCTACCTAGACAACTTCCCTTCCATATATGTCGATATCTTTCTTCTCCCTCCTCAAAATACGTTTTATAAAAAATCTAACAACGTTCCACATATTTTTACAGTTATTTATGTACTGCCCGTCGGTTCATATCTTTATTTACCCTTTTTCTCTTTTCGGCTTTACAAAGACAAAACATGGGAGAAATATAATTGGATACACTTTAAATTTTATATTCATAATGAATGGTGAGGATAAGTTCAAGCGATAAAAGCATTTAGAATATAGTCTCGATCGATTCTAAATAAGAATAAACATTAAACTATTGAATATTTAAATGATATGCATAAAAAAAATTCTTTGCTTTTTTTTTTTTAAATAAAGTTTAAAATATTACATATTTAAGTATATGATATTAATAACATCACATGGCGATCTCTCACAAAATCTATAAAAACATAATTAATTGCTATAAGTTGCTTTTAATGACGTTGTCCGGTAGTGATGTTTAATAATAAATCATAAATTATATATATTATTTAAGAAAAAAAAATCACCAAAATAATCACTTACATGGGACGGAACGGGACACAAAAAAAATAGTCTCATGTTTAGCATGCCATGGACAAAAAATACATAGGACAAAAAAATAGTCTCATGTCCCGTCCTGTTCCGTCTGCCTACCAAACGCTACCTTAAGTCCATCTTTTTCACCGTTAAAATATTTCGAGGGACCGAAGGTATTTTAGCCTTTTAACATTTTCTTTTCATTTATTTTTTTAAAGGATTAGAAAATATATTATAATATATATTTTAATATATTTTTTTATATACGCACATCATACACCACAATAGTCCTTACACTTGTCTTCTTCGTTGGTATTTATAAAGATATTATGTTATAATATAATAAATTTCAGAACTTTTGAAAAAAATGAAAAAGAAGCATCAAAAAGACTAAAATGCCTTCAATTTAAATAGCAATTGCTATAGGGACCATGATGTAGGGATTAGTGATGTCCAAATTGGCTCGGCCCGGTTCGGGACGGTCGGAGGACCGGAACCGGGATCGGCACCGACCGGGACCGGTAATAGACCTGACAGTTACGAACCGGTTCATGTTTTTGTCGTTTTTTGGGACCGGGACTGATTATTGGACCCGTAATAGATAAGTTTAGACTTATGTTGCGGCGAATTTTCACGAAAGGTAAAAAAATGAATGCGAAATATAGAAAGTATTGCGAGGACGTTGGTTTTAGAGTTTTGGGACCGAAGTTCGATATGCCCGTTCGTTGGAATTCGACTTATTTTATAATTGAAAATTTGATAAAACAAAAAATTATATTTTTGCTTTTTATAGACACCATTACTCGCATAATTTTATTGGAAATCTTGATTGGGCCGTGCTTTAAAAATTATACGATATTTTAGGCTATTTTAAAAATGCGACAACACTTTTATCCGGAATTTATTATCCAACAAGCCTTGAGTTTTAAACCAATTATATATTTTGGCAAGTAAGATTGTCCAATACAAGACCTTCACGATTGGGGAAGGTTGATGTATTCAATGAAAAAAAAATTGTTAAAATATTTTATGAGCATCTCATTTGCTTTTTTTTGTGCTGCGGCGTTAAACCTATATTTAAATATTGTCGGTGTTGAAGTTTTAATTACACAAATATATGTGACTTTTGGTTTGGATACCGCTACGGATAACTCTTTTTCAATAGAACAAAAACGTTTGTTTAATCATAATGATTTCAAGATTTATTTGATCATTACAAACATTTTTACGGAGGAGGAAAACAACCACAAACATCTTCAAGTCGTGGATTTGCGGGTTCTAGTTCTTCTTCTAGTGGTCATTGACAAAGTCGTAAACAGTTGATGACTAATTCAATGAACGAGGTTTTAAATGAATCAAGTAAAAAAAGTCGATATGATAACGACTTGTGTTAACTAAATATGTATGTGCATACTAACTTTATGGTTGCATGCCCCGCAAATGATGTCGAAGATTTTGAAAAAATTGATCTATTAGATTTTTTGAAACAAAAACAACCTCAATTCCCGATTTTGCCGTGCATCACACGTAATGTGCTAACAATCCAAGCTAGTACCGTAGCTTCAGAGTCCGCTTTTTCTCTTAATGGCAGGATCATTTCCATACGTCGGACAACACTAAGCCCGGAGTCCATGGAGTTTTGCATCTGCTTGAAGGATTATTTGGATAGCGTTGATAGGATTCAACACGCGACATCGTTAGAGATGGAGATTGAAGCGGTGGAAGAAAATCTGGAAGAAAATGAAATCTTCATGGGACTAAGCACGCCGCCAACTACCGATACCGACGGCACTTACTCACAATATGACGATGATGAGGAACTCGACATTGATGACCTTGATGACCAAGAGACTATTAGAAGAATTCAAGAGACCGGAACTCTTCAAATCAATCCGAAATGGGATACCGATAAAGACTGATATATAAATGTATTTTCAAATAATTTTATAATAATTTTTTGTAAAACAATGTAATTTTAATTATAATAAAACGTATTTTTAAAGTGTATTTGAGTGACCCGTTAGCCGTACGACAAATTTAATAACATATTAAAAATATATATCATTAAAAAAACAAAATAAAAACATTTTTGTTGGAGAGGTCCCGATTGGTACCTGTTGACACCGGGACCGGTATCCCATAACCAGTTACGAGTTACATTGACCCGTCATCACTATATCGACCGGGACCGGGACCGGTTATGATAGGACTGGTTACAAGAAAGAGCAGGCCCGATTGGGGCCGGCCCGGGACCGGTTTTTGGCCATCACTAAAAAATGTTATGGTATTTTCTTTTTCTATTTAATCGTTTATAAAAAAAAACGTAATATCCAAACCAACTTTGTATTCATCTCGACTGATTTTATAAGGTCCTGAAAATAGCAGTTAAGAAAATCTATAGTGTTTCCGAAAAGATTTAAATCGACAGCTGGTAACGATTTTATCAGTTAAGAAAACTATATTTGTCGATATAATTAGTTCTAAGGTTATGTTATGATATGTTTGATTCGAAGCACAGCAATTAGCAAATCAATACCAATAACAACAACAAATAACATGTTGGTAAATAAAGACAAATACGTAACCATAAGCGTGGTGCCTGATTGGTTTGAGTTTGGTTTCAAATGTCAAAAGTACCAGGAGGTCCCGGATTCAAATCCAATGAGGAATAAAATTCCTCTTGTGGCCACGGAGGTTCAAATGCGGTGACTCCGGACTATCTGCAAAACAGATGGTCGTCCTGAGATTAATCGGCTCGGATAGCGGATTACCCAAAAAAAAAGGGTTTTGCATTTAATAGTGAATTCTAAAAGTGTGATAGAATGATTACACAGAGAAAAGGGAACCGTTGATAAAATATGGTTGGTGGGGTTTTGTTGAGAGATTTGTTTTGTTGGTATATATAAAGCAATAATTGGAGATCCACAACACACAAATCAATGGAAATGGAGTTTGTAGTCATTGTTCTTGGTCTGTGCTTATCTTGTGCACTTATCCAAGCCACTTTCTCAGTTTTTAGGGTCGGAAAACCCAAGAACCTACCTCCCGGTCCGACGCCGCTGCCGATCATCGGAAGCCTCCATTTGCTCGGTGACCAACCACATCAGTCCCTAGCCAACCTAGCCAAAACCCATGGCCCGATCATGTTTCTGAAACTTGGTCGCATCACCACGCTAGTCATCTCCTCCGCCGCTGCCGCCAAACAGGTCCTTCAAAAACAAGACCTCGCTTTCTCCAACCGTCACATCCCCGACGCTCTCACCGCCCATAATCACTCCCACGACTCCGTCGTCTGGCTCCCCGTCGGCACCCGTTGGCGGACCCTCCGCAAGATCTTCAACTCCAACATCTTCTCCACCAACTCCCTTGATGCCAACCAGCATTTACGGAGCCAGAAGGTGCAGGAGCTTGTGGCGTACTGTAGGAGAGCCAGCCAGTGCAATGATCCGGTGGACATCGGTCGAGCTGCTTTCAGAACCACCTTGAATCTGCTATCGAACACCATTTTCTCCAAGGATTTAACAGACCCATATGAGGATTCGGGTAAGGAGTTTAGGGAGCTAATTGGAAACGTGATGGTGGAGGCAGGGAAGCCAAATCTGGTGGACTTTTTCCCCGTGTTGAAGAAGATCGATCCGCAAGGGATCAGGAGGAGAATGACTCGTCATTTTGGCAAGCTTTTACAGATCTTCGAGGAGTTGATTCAAGAGAGATTGGCGTTGAAAAGTTTGAAGCACGACGATGTATTGGACGTGTGTTTGAAAATCAATCGAGACAACCCCGATGAGATCGATCAGACGCACCTCAAGGGCATGTTTTTGGTACGTAAAACGTTTAACGTTCTTAATTTTACCATAAATAATACTTCTTTCGTCTTAAAAATAAGTTTTCAAATAGGTTCAAATCCATAAGGAATACAAATCTCCTTGTAGTTACGGAGAGTGGCGGATCCAGAAAATTTTGTTATTGGGAGCAAACTTAGGGAGTTGGGGTGTCAAAAAAAAAATTTGAAACCGAATAACTCATCCAAACCAAGACGATTTTGGGTTATTCGGTTTAAACTGTTCAGTTTAAATATATATATATATATATATATATATATATATATATATATATATATAAAATGGTAGGGATTAAATTTGGGGATTTGCCTTTTAATTGTTGGGGGCCTATTTATAATTTTAGATTTATATATATATATTTAAAGTTACAAGTGATGCTCTTTTTGTGACTTCCTGGGTGGTTTGTTGGGACTTGGGAGCCTGTGCCCCCTATGGGCTTGCTATGCATCCGCCATTGGTTACGGAGGTTCAAATATGGTGACTCTGAACTATCTGTAAAACAAGTAGTCGTCCTGAAATTAGTCGGCTCGAATAGCGGGTTAGATATTAAGGTTAATAAAAAAAGTTTTCATATTTCTATTATTATTTTTATAGTTCTTGAATCATATGAGAAAGTGAACACTTAGAAATGGCAAAAAGTATTTTTTGCTATAAACTGATGTAAGTTTGACTTCATATAGTAAAATTTAAAAAGTTGGTATTGTATGAAAAAGTAATTAACTTTAATTTGATTCTTATGTGAAGGAGGGCATTTTTAAAACTTACATTTTGGTATTTGAGATGTAAAGTTTTAAACATTTAAGTATTTGGATAATCGGTTGAAGCATTAACCTATTACCATGTTGATGTGTCGAGTGATGAGATGAAATTGGGTTTAATAACAAATAATACTGAGTTGGATATCACATCACTCGCCACATAAGCATGGTAACCGGTTAATGCTTCAATCGGTTACTCGAGTACTTAAATGATTAAAATTTTACATTTTAGGTACCAAAATAAAAGTTTTTGAAAGTACGTTACACAAAATAAGAATCAAGTTGAAGTATGTTAATTTTTCATGCAATTTACCCTTTAAAAATAATAAAATAATAGTTGTCTCCAAAAGTTATTCTAAAATACTAGATTTTGTTGATTTAACGATTCTTCTGTTCCAACGATTACGTTAAAATCTATGTTAAAATAAAGAAAAGAATAGAGAGAACATAAAAATATCTGAATTTGAAGAATTTTTTTGAAACTACATACGAGAGAGAGAATAATACCTTAATTTTTTACCTTCAATAAAAAGTAATGAAATCAAATGTTGATAAATAATATTTTATTAAATATATTAAATATTTCAATCGGGATCAATGTGTTCTCTAATTAATTAATCTTTGACACGTTCATGGGGAACGAATCTCGGCGGGTTCGAGGAACTCGTTTAGTAAAATACAATAAAAACAATATATTTTCAAATTAAAATTATAATAAATTTCACTACATAAAAACCAGAAAAACAACTTCAATTGTTTATATATATATATATATATATATATATATATATATATATATATATACACACACTAATAAACTAAAAAATTTAATCCGGAGTCGGATTAGGAGCAAGTAATGCCATCTCTGACCCTATCCGACGTTTCGGATATGAAAATCAATCCCCACCATGTATAATTAATTATGTTACATCTCCATAATCAGCAACTTTTACCGGATTATTTTGACCACATATTCATGGCACCATAAATTGGTGCCAAAGATTAGGTGTAAGCAGCGTAGCCACATGCACAACATAAGTACGTATTGATGACTCCAATAGTTAAATTATAGTTTTTTTTAAATAAAATGTTAAAATCAAAACATTTAAAAATCTTTAATAGCTATTTTAAATCCTAGATTAATAATATTATTAAAATATTATATACATTCATCATTCTAATACACCACATTTAACTTTATTGCATTAACAGTAGCAATAGATGGTGGTAGTAGAGGTGGCAATGGACAGTAGTAGTCGGTGGTCGACGTTTGTTATGGAGGTGGTGGAGGAGTTGGGGGCGGCCAACGACAGTAGTGGTGGTAGTGTAAGAGGAGGTGGAGGTGGTCGACGGTGACCACCGATGGTGACAGTGGGCGAACTAGCGGTGATGACCATAAAAACAAATATCATATTAAGGTTATATATCAAACTAGGGTAGGTTAATAAGTTTTAGTTTATGTCTCATTCTTGTCCCATCTTCGTCCACCTATTTTGGTGGAACAAGAAAAAGTCTCGTTTGTCCCATGTTGTTCCATCTTGTCCCTAACTACGAACTTCGGATTCAAGTAATAACATTCTTGAATCATCAAATTTTTTCCTATCTCATGCCGTGACAAATGTGGAACAAGGAGTTCTTGTTATGTCCCATGTTGCATCAAACGTAGGACAATGAATTTTGTCTCGTCCTGTCTTGTCCCATCTCATATACCAAATGCGGTCTATAGGACGTCATGGATTGTCTAAGCGTTTTAATAAAACACTTTATAGCTCTTATGTTTGTAGGACCAAGTTATAAAATGTCACATCTAAAAACGTTAAAATTGTTTATATGACATTTTAGGCGTTTTAACAAGTTTTTTATAACGCTTTTAAAATGAAGTGTTACTATAAGAAATTTTGTAGAACACTTTTGATAATTGTCTTATAAACTCATCTTATTATAGGACATTATAGACATTTTATTTTAAAAACGTCTTAAAAACTTGTTAAAACGTCTAAAAACATCATATAAACCTATTGTAACACTTTTGGAATGATACTTTTGGTTCGGTCCAATAAACTCAAATTCAGATAAAGTATTTTTTTCAGGATGTTTCTACATTTTAGGCATCCTATAAAATCAATTTTGTTTCAGTGTTGGTGGAAACAATTAAAATTATAAACAATTCTCCTCAGTATTAAACTTATGAGATTTCTTTAAGTTTAGAGATTTCTACCTTCCTTTTTTAGCATACACTTTAACATAACTGTTAAAGCAACAATAACTTTGAAATCTCTAAAACTTTTACTTTAATATATCAGATATATTTCTATTTGACATTTACTCTTCTCTTATTTGGAACATGTTATTACGTATAATGGTATAGGATTTGTTTGTTGCCGGCACTGATACAACTTCAAACTCGTTAGAATGGGCAATGACAGAAGTACTACGCAACCCACACACCATGACCAAAGCCAAAGAGGAACTTGAACAAGTAATTGGTAAAGGTAAAATTATAGAAGAAGCGGACATCATGAGGCTGCCGTACTTATCGTGCATTGTAAAAGAAACCCTAAGGATTCACCCTCCAGTCCCCTTTCTGATCCCTCGAAAAATCGAGCACGAAGTCGAACTCAACGGCTACACTGTCCCCCGAGACACACAGGTTCTTGTCAATGTATGGGCCATAGGACGAGACCCTACCCTTTGGGAAGACGCATTAGATTTCAAGCCAGAAAGGTTCATGACCTCAGGGTGTGATGTTCGAGGTCAACATTTCGAGCTACTCCCGTTTGGTGCTGGAAGAAGAATTTGTCCCGGTTTACCACTTGCAGTCCGTATGCTCCCGGTAATGTTGGGATCATTACTTAATAACTTTGATTGGAGTCTTGATGCTGGAATTAGCCCTAAAGAATTAGATATGACGGAGAAGTTTGGGATCGCCTTGCAAAAGGCTGACCCTCTTTGTGCTGTTCCAAAGTTGTTGAATTAGCGTTTATCCATATACTTCGATTTCTCTTCATATCTAATATACCTCATAATTATGTTAGAATTATATACTTCAAATGTTGGTATGCACAAATACAATTTGAGTAAAAACAATATTCAAGTATGTTTAGTAAAATCGTAGGAGTACGCCTAAAGCATTAATATAGCTTTATGCCAAGAAAATGTTGTAGCTCAGACGTGTTAAATAAATATTCTAAATACATTTACCCCTAAATGTATAACCAGTGTAGCTTTATATCAGTTGTGAAAAAAGGACAATGGCCATTTTTATCATTATCAGTTAAATCTCATCATAGATATAGATTATTTTGTTAAAGGCATAGTGAGATTACCACAATTGGAATACAAATTCTCTGAAGGCAGATCTATGAAGGCTCCAGTGGATTCTGGCCTATTTAACCGATTTTTGCATAAAAGCATACTACTACATAGTATGTTACTCATACTAATGCATTGAATTACAGATTGAATTATAAAACAAGCATCTATCTCCAAATATTACAAAATAAAAAAAAACATTGAGCAAATTGAAACATGAGTAAGCTAACGTGAAGCCTTCTAAAACCGACCCTTAATTATGCTTATATATATATAATTAGATCAATAAAAAAAGTTCAATGATCGTGCAACCCTCCTCTAACATCAATATTTTTTGTCGTAAGCTTGACGATTTTGATTTTGATTTTGATTTTGATCCATAATATTGAATCACCTACATATGTGTTGAAATTTGTGAGATATGATCAAAATATCACAATACTGAGAATCGTAAAGTTTATTGTGTTTCATTCAGATATGAAATTTAGGATATACGTGTTGAAATTTGTTGAAAATACGTGTTCTTTTTGTCTTTTTTGATACCTTAGATATTTGCAATTCACATTTGCCGTGTTTTATATCAGACTATAAGAGTACTCGCGCAATGCAGCGAGACACATCTCAGTTTTAATGTTATATTTTATTATTTGTGTATGTCGATGTTATAATACGATTTTATGTGTTTTTAAGAAGGCATTAATGATTTTATTTTTGAATAAAATATAAATTTGAAAAAAATATATAGCAATGTTAATGTCAAATCAACTATTTAAAAGTTTTCATTTTTATGTAATTTCTTTAATTTATTTTTTATTATAATTTAATTTAAGTTTAGTAACGAAATAATTTATTTTTGGTTTAATAATATAAACATTTTGATAGATAATAATTAAAAATTCTGTTAGAACTCAATGATTATCCTAATTATATTTTAGATTTTTTATATTTAAAATGATATATTTATCATGTATTTGATTATGTTTATCTGCAGTTAGTTACACGAATTCAGATATGGAGCTTTAATAAGTTGTATTTGCGCACAATCTACTTGCAATCTTGAGTTTTAAGTAATATGATTAATAAACAGTATTTTACGCATAAAAAATGGTTTTTAATAGTTTTTGTCAAATGTTTTATAATATAATATAGATATCTCATCATCTACGCTAGAGTTGATCATTTGAGGGCCGAACTGAGCCTAACCTATTTTTTTTGTTCAATGGGCCTAACATGTTAACTCATACCCCTTTTTATGGGCTTGAAAACTTGCCCATAAAATCTTTTTATATATTTAAGAAAATAAAACTTATATAAAATCACAAGTTATATAAAATAATTTAAAATACACAACAGTTTTTCCAACTTAAAGTTAAACGTAAATAGATAACAATGTACATAATTTATATATATATATATATATATATATATATATATATATATAATTATGTTGTATCGGTGTATTAATCCGTTTGTACAAATTGTGAACGTTTATTAAACTAATTAATTATTAAACTTTAATATATATAATTATTATATTTGAGATAATAAGTATTGATCAACTGAGGTGATTATGTTTTTATTTTTTAGATTTTTTTAAAAAGGTCAGTATCATGAGTCATAATTAAGTAAGAGTTGATAAATATCAATAATTTTTACTTTTATTAGTAAATTTCAAACAGGCATGTATGTTAACCATTAAAACACAATCAGTAGTCCCACAATATATTCATTTTTGGAAAGCTTTTTATAAATTATTTTGCTTGTTTAGTTACCATTGCAAATTGGCCGTCAACATCAATAGCTATAAATCTAAATTATATAAATATTATATTAGGGGTGTCAAAATAACCGTTGGACCGTTCAAAGTGGTCGAATCAAGTCAAAACGGATCGTTTTTGGCGGTTTGAGCGGTCCGGTCTGGATTGGAAAACAGCAAAACCGGGCGGTCCGGTCTGGTCCGATCTGCGATCTGGAACCTTTTTTGGGCGGTTTGAACCAAACTGACAGCCAAACACACACACATACACACACACACACACACACACATATATATATATATATATTAGTATTAGCAATCCCAACTTTTTTAACTTATGTGGTTATGACCCAAATATATCCTCAATCAAGTGATTCAACCAACTTAGATTTGACTTCTATTTTGTTTGGTCAATAACTCAAGACTCAAGAATTGAATGTTGTGAAGTCGTGGATTTTGTTACTCAATACACACAATGGAGTTGTAACTTTGTTAATTTGTTTGTTTTCTAATATGTATCTTATATTTATTTGTTTGTACTTTGGATTGCTTCGACTTTGTACTTAAGAGTTGTTTAATTTTTACATTTATTTGTTTAGATATTTTGTTTTGTTAAAATGGATATTTAATCTAAAATTCTAAATTATATATGCTTTTTAAGTTTAATATTTAAAGTCCATTAAAGGCACAAACCACCTAAAGCGGTCAAACCAGACCGTCTTTTCGTGGTCTGGTTTGACCGATCTGGGCAGTTGATGTCAAACCGCTCGGTTTAAAAAAATTATAAACTGTCATTGCGGTTTGGTTTGTGATCTGAGGGGTTAAACCGCCCAAACTAGACCGCAAACACCCCTATATTACATAGATATAAATTAATCTTGATCCTGTAATCAAAGAAATATGGTGAAAATTCTTCAGTAAATTGTGATTATAGAAAATGCATATTTGAGCAAGATGTGGTTAAGTTGTGTGCATGATATTAGATTGATATACTCCATTTCGACAAATCAATATTGCATGTTTGTGTATATGGTTTTTTTAACCATGGATTTCTGAATTTGTTTACGTGAATAGACTAATTATTTGAGAGATTACGAATGATCTGGAGTCATAGCAGGTGAACCTTCATGGTCAAAGACTTTGGCAACGTTTGGATTCAAACTCAAGGTAGATGAGATTTTCGATTTACATATATGTGTTCTTAGACATCTACGATACRAACTTGCACCAACCAAAATTATTCATATATGGGCTATTGTAAATCAGGGGCGGATCACCTATGAAGGCCCAAGCACGGTCCCACTCATCTGCTCAACCAATTTTCTCAACTAATTTTTTTTTTGTGTATGAAAGGTACACCCGTTAAATTTGTGTAGTGCTTCGGGATATTAGAAAATACAAGGAACATCAATTAAACAACCAAGAAAAGATCCTATGAAATCCGATGGGTTCGTCGGATTAGCTTTGATACCTGGATTTTTTATTGAAAAAGTGGATAACATAGAAATTGGGGATGGTCTGGCATTTTTTTTACCTTTCTTTATATTTTGGATCGGGAAATTTTTTTTCTTTTTTCATCCTATTTAGTCATTTTTCTGTTCCAAATATATTAGAATTTTTTTCCTTAACTCGACAAAATAGCCCCGTAACTTCAGGAGAAGGGGTTCAATCATTGATAAACAATTTGTTGGACAATACTCAATGCAATTATCACAAAATATACATATTCCAAAATCAATATTGTAATTAAGCAATCGTTTCTGGCGGGACTGGATCGGAAAAAAGAGGGATTCTAGTTGTAAGATATTTATGTAGTGTCGCTATCGTGGATAGGAAACTCCATTAGTGACTACCCTAATTTATTGTAGAAATTTTCGGGATAAGTGGTTGGACCATGCAAACTAGATATACTTTTTCTTGGATAAAGGAACAGATTATTCGATCTATTTCTGTATCGCTCATGATATATATCATAACTCGTACATCCATTTCGAATGCATATCCCATTTTTGCACAGCAGGGTTATGAAATTCCACAAGAAGCGACTGGACATATTGTATGCGCCAATTGCCATTTAGCTAATAAACTAATTGATATTGAGGTTCCGCAAACGGTACTTCCTGATACTATATTTGAAGTAGTTGTTCGAATTTCTTATGAAAGTAGTGATTGTGAGTCCCCAATTCTTGACTTGGGGGGGGGGGGGGACCAAGTTGTTCAAGAATAGTGTCGTTGTGTTTCTCGACCCTTACCCTTAATGGAATTGACGTATGACCCAATTCTATTTCTTTGATACATCTATTTATTCCGATCAATCTGCAATAGTCGTTTTTGTGAAAATGTATGTAGGGCCAAAAAAAGGACTGCATTTAAAATCGGGTCAAGTTCTAATTGTTCAAGTTGACTMTGTGGTAATACGGTCAGCTAAGCCTTATTTGTCCATGAGCAACTGTTCATGGACGTTATGGGGAAGGAGCCCATCTTGGTTTGTCAATTATGTTATTGCCTGTCTCATAATGTGTCCCATTCTTCTAGCCTTTCTAAAAAGTCGAGGTATTCGAATTGAAACATGAGTAAGCTAACGTGAAGTCTTCTAAAACGACCCTTAATTATGCTTATATATATAATTAGATCAATAAAAAATTTCAATGATCATGCAACCCTCCTCTAAAATCAAATTTTTTGTCGTAAGCATGACGATGTTGATTTTGATTTTGATTTTGATTCATGATATTGAATCACCTACATATGTGTTGAAATTTGTGAGATATGATCAAAATATCGCATTACTGAGAATCGTAAAGTTTGTTGTGTTTTATTCAGATATGAAATTTGTGACATACGTGTTGAAATTTGTTGAAAATACGTGTTCTTTTATCCTTTTTGATAGCTTAGATATTTGCAATTCACATTTGTCGTGTTTTATATAAGATATCTCATCATCTACGCTAGAGTTGATCATCAGTGGTCACACAATATATTCGTTTTTAGTAAGCTTTTTTATAAATTATTTTGCTTGTTTAGTTACCATTGCAAATTGGTGGTCAACATCAATAGCTATAAATCTAAATGATAGAAATATTATGTAGATATAAATTAATCTTGATCCTGTAATCAAAGAAAGATACTGAAAATTCTTCAGTAAATTGTGATTATAGAAAATGCATATTTGAGCAAGACGTGGTTAAGTTGTGTGCATGATATTAGATTGATATACTCCATTTCGACAAATCAATATTGTGTGTTTGTTTGTATGGTTTTTTTAATCATGGATTTTTGTATTCGTTTACGTGGACAGACTAATTATTTGAGAACGGATGAATAGGAGTTATCGCAGGTGAACCTTCATGGTCAAATACTTTGGCAACGCCTGGATTCGAACCCAAGATAGACGAGATTTTCAATTTACATATATGTGTTCTTAGACATCTACGATACAAACTTGCACCAACCAAAATTATTCATATATGGGCTACTGTAAATCAGGGGCGGATCACCTATGAAGGCCCAAGCACGGTCCCACTCACCTGCTCAACCAATTTTCTCAACTAATTTTTTTTTGTGTATGAAAGGTACACCCGTTAAATTTTTGGAGTGCTTCGGGATATTAGAAAATACAAGAAACATTAATTTCAATTGAATATTCATTTTTTTTTCATTCAAGAACAAGAAGTTCGACCCCAATGAACTATACTATTTGATCCCTATATCAGCCAAAAATTGTACTAAAATAAATCATACAGGGAGAACATGTAGTAATAAAATAAGAGGGTCTATTCCTTTTTTTTTTTTTTTTTGCCTTCATAAGTAAAAGTAGCAAAATTGCTATCTGTTACATACTTTTCTTTCCTATTTGATCTAATCAGTCACCTTTCCCGATTTCATACCGGACCAAACCGGAATAGGGTTATCATCCAAAAACCGAAAAAGTTTTTCATAATCTACCGAAATACTTATAAAATCTCTCGAAACTGGTGGAATTCTACAAAAAACACATCGGATGACTTTACGAAACTTTACTCCACGTTAAAAATACATATCAGGACAAAAATCCAATCCACTACTCCAACGAATAATATTCATAGCAAATCTTATCTACATTATAATTGATAGGATACCAAAAGAAATTCAATAATAGTAGAAAAATAGAAAACAATAATTGCGACTTTCGTCATTTTTTTACCTCTTTAAAGGCTGTTTATCAAACATTTATCCGATAGGTACTTACCGGTAAAATTTAATACTATTATGTACTTACCGGGTAAGATTTTAGTTTATCAAAACACATAGTATACAACAATTTACCCAATAACCGCTTACCGTGGTAAGAGTCATCACCCTCACTTACCATGTAAGACTCTTAATATTTGTCTTGCTTTTACCGAGTAAGATTTTTTGTCCTTCCTATATTCATCCGGTGAGATAATATTACTTAATAAACACTTACCCAGATAAGCGTTTGGTAAACGGCCTTAGATTGAATTTTTATTTTTTTCAACTTCTCCTTTCCTTTTTAGGCCATCCATTCGGTTAAAAGGATGTGTTCCAATATTGGATTTTTAGGATGCGTGGTCATAATCCGACGTCGTATCCTTTTCAATTCGCCACTATCCCAAACTCCCTTTAAAATGACCACTGACGAGTACCCAATACAAAGAAAGTTATCATGGATGCCACCGGAGATCATCAGAAACATTTTGTTCTGGTTCATGGTGCATGCCTTGGAGCCTGGAGCTGGTTCAAGCTCATCCCTCTTCTTGAGGCTGCGGGCCACCGTGTCTCCGCCTTTGATCTGTCGGCCTCCGGCACTGATACCAAAGTGATTCAACAAGTGACGACACTTTCCGACTATACTTTGCCGTTGCTGGAATTCATGGCCACCATTCCGGCGGACGAGAAGGTGGTGCTGGTGGGTCATAGCCTTGGTGGCATGAACATAGCTCTCGCCATGGAGAAGTTCCCGGAGAGAATCGCCGTTGCCGTCTTCTTCACCGCCTTCATGCCGGATTCAACTCATAAGCCTTCCTATGTCCTAGATACGGTAATTAATTTTTTCCGAGTAAAATTACGATTTTTCTTTTAATATTTTTAATATTTTTTATTTAATAAAATTATATATTTTAAATAAAATAATTAAAGGCAAAATACACAAAATAGCAATCTACTTTCATAAATTTCTTTATTATAGCATTGTACTTTCAGTTTTTCTTATTTCAGCAATGTACTTTCAAACTATTTTTTATTAGGACAATGTACTTTGAAAAATTTACCCATTATAGCATTGGGTAACCTTTTGATTTAAATTTACCCATTATACTAGGTTTCCATGCCACATCATTGTCCACGTAGGTTGTCCACATGTACTATAGTGATGTGACTTTMTTAYYACATYMTTGTAYTTTCAAAATTATTTTATTATAGCATCTACTAGTTCTTATTAAACACTATATTTTTAATTTTAATATTTAGATATTTTACATGTTATTTAATAAATGTATTAAATGAATTAAAAAAATTCTAAATTATTCATTAATATATCAATATCAATAAAACTAGTAGAACCAACTTATCTCGCTAACATTTTTAAAAAATATGTGTTTTTTGAAAAAAAGAAAATAAGAATTCTTCATTTTTTTACCAAAAAATATTATCTTTTAAATAATATATTATATTTGTTCAAAAACTTTTTACTTGACATATAAATATATTATAAATTAATTAGACTTTTTTGAATTATTTATTAATATAGCAATATTAAAAAATTATAGACAACAATTTATTTCGTTAATATTTTAAAGAGAACTTTAAAAGATATGTATTTATTTGAACAACATAAAATAGGAAAAGTTACTTTTTTTACAAACAAAATATATCTCGAAAATAATGTTTCATATTTATTTAATAAATATTCTATTCTAAGAATATTTAATTTGAATTCAACTTAATAAGAAAAAATAAAAATAAATAAATGTTTTTTTAGATCATAGCAATGAAAAATGAAAATCACTAATAATAATTTGAAATAAGTTTTTATTTTAATTTTAGTTAAGTYATCAAAATGATGTGGCATCCACATCACCTCATTAAAGCCACACAAGCAAAAAAGTCAAATGGTTAACCGGTTTAAAAGGTAACAGGTTACCCATTGCTATTATGGGTATATTTTTTAAGGTACAATGCCTTAATAAAAAATAATTTGAATGTACATTGTTGTAATAAAGAAAAACAAAAGTAGAATGCTATGATAAGAAATTTTATGAAAGTAGGTTGATATTTCATGCATTTAATCCAATAATTAATGATTATAATCAAATAATTAAATATTCTACTTACAATTCGTTATTTTATATTTTTTTGCCATTATAGTTTAGTTTTTTAGGGGTTATTTGGTTACTTCTTAATAGATTCATTAAGAGACAGCCTCTGAATTGTTAAGAGGTGAATCTTATTTGATAAAAAAGAGTTCATCTCTTAATGGTTCTAAAACTCTTTGAATGATTTTGTATCTTGGGTCTCTCTTAACCATTAAGCACCATAATTTTGTTGTAAATAATTAACAAATAATTATATTTCATTTTGCACTATATCACGAGAGTCTCTTAATCATTATGACCACTTAATCATTTTGCACCAAACCATTCAACAACTGTCAAAAAGCCTCTTAGATCCTATATAAAATATAAATTTTTGGTCTCTAATAAAGAAAAAAAAGTTACAATATTTTAACCTCTTTTGCGTAGGATCAAAAATCATCTGTGATTGATGCATACATATAAAAGAGTTTAGATCCAAACTCACTTGAAAGCTCATCGTCCAAAGGCTCGCACAAGACCTTTAAGGCAGGGGTGGAACACAACCGTTGTAGTCCGGGGGGCCGAAATATAAGAGCATCTTCAATATATTTTCCAAATTTGAGAAAATGGAGATTCTAGGCATATTTTTGCTCCAACAGACTCTCCAAAACAGAGAAAACATGAGAGAGTGTAAACAAAAATTGATTACAATGAGAAATAATCATTTTTTTATCATATTCACACCGTTAAGAATCTTTGATATTAATGGTTTATAGGTCACTGGCATATCATTTTTTTGTCTTTATTTGACCCCAAGAATGGATTGGATCGAAATGACTTTCCTGCCAATGGGAGATTGGCTAGGGCGGAGAGCTCGAGCCTGGTTTTAATAGAGTTTTAATTATCCATTTTGGAAATTTTTTGAAGAATATGTTGAAGATGCTATAATATTGTAAAAATTTGTAAATCCAAATGATTTGTTTTTAGACTATTAAATTTTAGAAAAARATTGATTAATGTAATATTAAAACTCGAAACATTCAAAGTATTAACAGGAAAATAGTAATACCAATTTAAACATTATTTATATATAATTAATATACTATATTATTTACTCTAAAAACTTAAACATTCAAAATATTAACTGAGAAATAGTAATACCGGTATAATTTACTTTAAAAACTTATATTTACATATAATTAATATATTATATAAAAACTAATACATATAATTAAATATTAATAACTTATATAAAGTGTAAAAAATTGCTTGGGAAGGGATTTGAAACAACAACCTCCAATATGTGGTGTGCATCATTGCCAACTGACCTAATTAATATATATGTTTTAAATAGCTTAGTTATAGTATTTAAGTATAAAAGCGGGGGGCCATGGCCCCCAAAGGCCCCTATAGGGTTCCGCCCCTGCTTTAAGGTATGCAGTGTCAAACCTACATTTGAATAAGGTTATTTGTAGAAATTGAACTCATAAAAAACTAAAATTTTTATGATCAAAATTATTATAAAAAATGAATTCTATTATAAATATTTTATTTTTTTAATCACAAACAAGAACAATTTAATGAGTTCGAATTTTGATTATAAAAAATGACTAAACCCTAAACTCGGGTTAAATTAATTTTTCCTCGTTGACAATTATTACAAAAACATCAGTAAAATGCATGAAGTACTGTTTATTGATGCATATTACTTAAAATTCAATATTACAAGTGATTTTGCGTAAGTACAACTTATTAAAGCTTTATTTTTAAATTAGTATAACTAACTACAAATAAACATAATCAAATACAAGATAAACATATATTTTAAATATAAAAAATCTAAAATATAATTAAGATAATCATTGAGTTCTAACAAAATATTTAATTATTATCTTTATAAAAAATTATATTGTTAAACCAATTATAAATGACTTTGTTATTAAATTATAATAAAAAAATGAATTAAAGAAGTCACATATAAAAAAAATGAAAACTATTAAATAGTTAATTTGATAATAATATCGATTTATTTTTTTCAAATTTATATTTCATTCAAAAAAATATTATCGCTTTCTTAAAACCACATAAAATCGTATTATATCGATAGAGACAAAGAATAAAAACTAAACATGAAAAATTGAGATTTATTTTGTTGCATTGCGCGAGTACCCTTCTAATATTTAATTATTATGAAAATATTTGTATTTTAATTAAAAATAAAACAATGCAGGGGTATGTGATTTAGAAATAATTGATTTATGCACGTGATCAATGATGAAACTAGAAAGGATAGTACAACTTATCAAACCTGATTAATTCGATAGAATTCGAACCGAAAATGTCATATTTTCTGGATACCTGAAAATGAATAAGACCCGACCCTTGATATTGGGCAATAAATAGGAGTGTAGGGTTCGGGTTAGGTTTGCATATTAGCCATCTGAACCTGTCCGAATATCCGATAAGAAGATAACTTAAAATCCTAAATTACCTAACCGTATATGGGTTTGCATTAACACCTTTCTAACACATGTCGATGCAATGAAAAGAAAATAAAGAACGTAAAATTTTCTAAATTTGGAGAAAATATCTAAAACTCTATATAAGAGAGATAATAATATTTTAATTTTTTTCCATTAATAATAGGTATTGAAATTAAATGTTTAGAAAAAAGAAATAATAATATGTTAATAATATAAATAACGTTATAATTGTTAAAATAGAGTAGTCGTTGTATTTATTTTATCTTTGTAGACTCAGATTTTATGGACGTAGGTTGTTTTAGAATATAATTTTTATTACTTCTATTAATTGCATAAAAATTTACTTATTGAATTTATCGTATTTTGATTTTGAAGTATAACGAAAAGACTCCGCCAGAAGATCGGTTGGACGCGAAGTTCTTGCCGTACAACAACGAAAAGGATTCAGAGACATCAATATTATTCGGTCCTAAATTTATATCGCACAAACTCGCTCAGCTTTGCTCGGATGAGGTTGTATATAGTTACAACCCTTTGTTACATATGTCCAGTAAAAGTTTATGGACGATTATTAATATGATTTTACTGTAACGCAGGATCGTGAACTATTGAAAATATTGGTAAAGCCTAGCTCGTTATTTCTAAAAGACCTACATAATGCACCTAAATTTACGAAAGAAGGATTTAATTATGTGCAACGAGTTTTTGTGGTCTGCAATGAAGATCAAGCCATCCCGAAAGACTTTCAACAATGGATGATCGACAACAATCCAGTGGCGGAGGTGAAAGAGTTGAAAGTTGTGGACCATATGCCGATGTTGTCTGATCCGAAGCAAGTCAGTGTTTGCCTTCTTGACGTTGCTCTGCAATATGCATAATCGTATGTTACTTTTATCTGTTATTATTTACTACAAAATTAAACTCTTGTAATTTTATATTCTAATAATTTGATGCAAAATTTCACCAAGGCATAATAATTTCTATGGCAATTCAATGGAATATGTTTATCGAACGAATTATTTGGATCCTTGATTTTATGACTTCTGATTTTTAATATTTTGTTAGTCTTTTGGTTTTTTAACTAAATAATATATTATAGAGTAAATTACATTCTTCGGTTATGTGGTTTGTTGAAAATTTCTCTTTTCATCTCTGGTTTTTTATTTATTACGCTGGTAGTCACTATACAGACACACGGAGGTGGAGACACAATCGCACAAAGATGAAGATGATTGGTGGATCGAATGAATGAGTGTGCGTTTGAAACACCGTGAACTTACTAAATTTCTCTGATGAGATCGACTGGATGAGGGAGATCCAAGCAGATGGGAAGAACGACCATGGTCACGGTGGTTAGGGGTGGTGCGGGAAGGGAGGAAACAAGAGAATGGAAGGGAGGTAGGAGAGATTGTGATGGTGACGGTGATGGTGATGGTGATGGTGATGGTGAGGAAGGGAAGGATTTCGTAATTTTATAAATGGTTGTTAAATGATTATATTTGTATTTTCATTTACTAGAAGGGTACTCGCGTAATGCAGTGAAATACATCTTGATTTTAATATTTCATTTTATTATGTATCTTAGTCGATGTTATAATATGGCCTTATGTGATTTTGAAAAAGCGATGATGTTTTTATTCTTGAATAAAATATAAGTTTGAAGATATCATAAAAATTTGACAAAAATATATCGATATTAGTATCAAATTAACTATTTAAAATTCCTCATTTTTTGTGTAATTTTTTTTATAATTTAATTTATGTACAATAACAAAGTAATTTATATTTGGTTTAATAATATAATTTTTTATAAAGATAATAACTAAATATTCTGTTAGTTATCAATGATTATCCTAATTATTTTTTAGATTTTTTATATTTAAAATGAGATGTTTATCTAATATTTGATTATGCTTATCTACATTTAGTTAGATGAATTCAACTATGGAACTTTAATAAGTTGTACTTATGCACAATTACTTGTAATCTTAAATTTTAAGTAATATGTATCAATAAACAGTACTTCGTGCATAAAAAATCGTTTTTAAGAGTTTTTGTCAAATGTTTTATAATATAGTATAGATTAATAAAAAATATTAATAGACAACTTTTATTAAATGATAAAATCTTAATAGAAATCATCATTTTCTTCTTGTTTAAATCGTTATTAAATCTCTTCAACCAAATTCGATTATTTATTTACCAATTACGTATTCTAATATGATTTTGAAAATATCGTTCATACTCTGAAAAATACATTTAAAAATTTCCGACATAGATAAGGTGAAATTGACATCACTATAAATCCACAAATATACGAATCATAATCATGATGACCCACAAATAATAGAAAACCATGATTGAAACTAGTGATGGCCAAGCTGACCCAGCGCGGCCTGAGACCGGTAAGGACCGGTTATAGGACCGAAATCTGGGACCGGTTATGGATCGGCCCGGCCCGGCCCGATTTTTAAAAAATGTAACTATTTTTTTTAAATGTAACCGTTTTTTGGCCCTTTTTTGTATTTTTTGCTTTCTAACAATCGGTTGATTCGCAAGTTCTTGCTTTCTAAAAACCAAGCCGTTTTTTGGTCTTGGTTGAGGGATTTACATACCAAATTCTTGATTAAAAAAAAACGCAAAAAAAAACGTTCACAATTATCGGGTTCTCGCTAAATTTTGTAAGACAATGTAATTTTAATTATAATAAAACACATTTTTAAAGTGTATTGAGTAACTCAATTACAAATTTTATAATGTATTAAAAATATATATCATTAAAAAAATAAAAATTAAAAAAATATATTTTTTAATGACCGGGACCGGTTAGGCGGCTCATAACCGGTTACAATAAAGATTGACCGGGCTCAACTTTTTCGAGCGGGATCGGCACCGGTTATGGCTGGTTATGAGAAATCTTGGGTCCAGTTGGGCCTGGCCCGGCCCAGGACCGATTTTTGGCCATCACTAATTGAAACATCCCAAAAGTTTTTGTTCATATTTTTCACGCTCATCTTGCACTTTATTTTTGTATATTTAGGGGCCGTTTACCTAAATGCTTACCGGTAAGTGTTTAATGTAACGAGTCAACACTATAATTTATTTTATTATGTAAGATTGTAGTACATCAAAACGTATCATATGCAACAATTTACCTGGTAAGCGCTTACTCGGGTAAGAGTCGTCACCTTCACTTACCGGGTAAGACTCTTCATCCTTATCATCACTCTTACCAGGTAAGATTCTTGGCCCTTGTCATGTTCATCCGGTGAGGAAAATTATCCGGTAAGTACTTACCGAGTAAAGCGTTTAGTAAACGGCACCTTAGCTTACATATCTCAATCCAAACAACCACCCCCTCTCCCCTTTTACGGAAAGCGTAAAAATCAATTATCATTCCCAATATATTCCTGTAGTTTCGAACCCACTTATTATTATTATTAACATTTAGGTTGTAACTTTAAGATAATATGATTCTATTATTTGTCGGATTCGACTATATTAGATTTCCACGTGGAGGATTGAGGTTAAAGTGGTAGGGGGCACTTATCCCCAAAAATGAATGAAAACGATTCGACTACATTAACGTAAATGTTTATTGAATAAATTTTTAACAAAAATTTAATTTAAAAAAAGAAATAAATTTCTAAAAAATTAAAATTTTAAACTAAAAATTAAATTTAACTGATGGTCAAGTCGGTCAGAAGAAGAGTCACATCGATGATACTTTGATAACTGGAAAACCAAATATTCATGACGGAGATTATAAATATTTGGTTCATACAATTCTCAAAATATCTACAGCTTTCATACCAACTTGCTGCTACGTATAGCCCATATAATTATGATGTTGCTATAACTCATGTCACCATCTTTTGGAAGATAAGATTGTGTTAATGGGACATAGCCTCGACGATCTCATTGAGTAAATGACGAATTTGGCGCCCGTGGTTTGTCATTTTTCCAAATTTTGCTTATGTAGTTGGCACTTTTGCTCGGTTTTGGTCCCTATGGTTTGTAACATTTATTGGTTTTGATCTCAGTAATCTTTTTATTCTTAAATTGTTTTTGTAGTTTGCACTTTCTATTTGTTTTAATCCCTCCTGGTAACGCTGTCTATTTTAATCAACTCCAAGGGCAAAGTTGTCATGTTAGGCAAACATAAATAAAACCCTACTGTTCTCTTTTTCCCACCCACCACTGCTTCACGTGACTGGCAACTGCTCCATCCGAAATCAAATTACCACCATCGCAAGGCCTTCCCTTCGCCGAAGAGCTCCCTTCACTGACCCCGTTGTTGTTCTTCTAATATTGGTCCTCACCAACACAGCTCGATCATCTCCTTCCTAACACCGACTCTCGGTATAAATCACTAATGCAAGTGTTTAGGACATGCAATGGAGAAATAGAAATTTGGAAAACTAGCTTCTTCTTCCTTAGAGTTCAATAAAAAAAATAATTAAAAAAACAAGAATTTTTATATTGTTAATTTGATGATCAGTACATTCTTTTGAAACTTTTATGGGGTCTTCAGAATTATATTTTATTGAAACACAAAAATATTATCGTTTTCTCAAACTCATATAAAAATTAATTATAAAATCGACAGAGGCAAAAGATAAAACTAAACATTAGAATCGAGACGTATCGCTACATTACGTTCTAGTTTTATAAAATCATAAAAATACGGCCGGTGCGTAGATTAGATAGATGAAAAATCATTTGGGATTAATATGACAGCTATGACCAATGAACACAGTTCGGTTCACGTGCATTTATGACCAATATGTTTGAATAAACCATGTTCTTTCTGACTTCCTATAAAAATCAACATGAAAAAGGTACATAAATAGTACTTGGTCCCATTACTACATGAAAATTGTGTGCGCATTTGACAAAATCGGGATAAATTCGAACAAATTCGAAATTTTATATTCTAACCCAATGTAAAATGTAATGTCAATGCCTCTAGAATGTTGTTCAGTGGATAAAGCGACCAGATGATTTTGTCCAAATATAAGACAAATCATGGATTCGATCCCAACCCTCTGGTAGCCTTAGCCAAGAAAATGTGCCCCTCATATTGACGTCTTTGAAGAAGGGTTCCGTATGAAACCGATTATGGTTATTGGTAATCAATTTTTTGTTCAAATAATGTTGAAAAGTCGAACATGAAAGTTTAAAGGTCAAAAGTGTCTGGAGGTCTCAGGTTCAAATCCAAGAAGGAACAAAAATCCCCTTATAGCCACGGAAGTTCAAATGCTGTGACTTCGGGCTACCTGCAAAACAGGTAGTCGTTCTGGGATTAGTCGGCTCGCATAGCGAGTTGGATATTCAGGTTAATCAAAAAAAAAAACTATCAAGGCAAGGTTTGGTCAGTCGTATTTAATATCATACATCTAACGGACGAACATAGAAAACCATCAAACAAAATAAGGAATTTTGAACCCCGTTTGGTGATTCACTCGTGATATCTATTAACTACCGATTAATTAGGTTTTTATTTTGAATTTTTTTTTTTTTTTTTGAACCTGTGTTTCTTGGTTGATTTCTTTTTGGGTTTTCAGTTGACTTATAAAACTTTTGACTCACATTTATTTTATTTTTTTCAACTTTTAACGAAATAAAATCGCATAATACCATGCTTAAAGTCTAAAAATCTGCCACTGATTTTTAATAAACTAAAATACAAAAAAATATAAATATTTAGAAAAATAAACAATAAAAAAAAAATCTTTGGATATGGAGTCACGTTGTTCGATTGACGTCATGTTCACTATCATATATATACATGATAATATAATTTTATTAATAATATATAATAATAATAAAATACAAAAATTATTAAATAATGGTTGGATCAAGATGGGTGGAGATTTAAACCAACGAAGAAGGGAGAATTTTCAACAACCTCATCCAATTCAATCTCTCAAGCGATATCGAGTAGATATCGAGTAGATAAGACGTTTTTTGTTGTTTTAACAAGTTTTTATGATGATTTTTAAAACAAAATAAAATTACCTTGTTCCTACATGACCCGATCAATTCGATCGGCCACTCGCCATCTATTTTCACTGTTCGACTATTTAACAACACGAAAAAACCATTGTTCAACTCTTTGACAACATGAAAAACCAAAAGTTATGTCCTCCATCTCTATCTATATTCTATCCAAGGGATGGAACGGCAGAGTCCTTTGGTCCCCCCCCCCCCCAAAAGTCAAGAATTGGGGTCTAACAATCACTATTTTATCTTATGTCTTTCTTCGTTCATGGTTCGATATTCTGGTGTCCTAGGCGTAGAGGAACCACATCAATCCATCCCGAACTTGGTGGTTAAACTCTATTGTGGTGACGATACTGTAGGGGAGGTCCTAAAAGTTAAAATACCTAAAAGTTTTTCTACAAATCTATTACAACACTTTTTAGTTTGATCTTATAAACCGAAGTTCTATAAAGTATTTTATTATGATGCTTATATATTTTAGGTGTCTTATAAAACCAATTTTGTTGTGATGATTGTTTATTACACCAAATCTAGTGAAAAATCTATTGTCTCAGTTGAAATAATATGGTGTCAAGTAATTTAAAATCTGGTATAAGATTTGATGTCTCAATCAAAAATGATTAGATCAGATCAAGGATAGATACAAGTGGTGCATATGGTGGCATGGGTCATTGCTTGGCTTCATCGTGTAAAATGTTATAGAGTCGTGAAATGTCATCGTATCAATTTGTTATGTGTCATGGTATACATTTTGAAACTATAATAAGGACACAAGTTTATCTTGATAGAGTTGGTTTGCAAGACTTTTCTTGCATCCCAGACCCGAGTTTAAATCCAGTTTTGAGCTTTTAATTTCAGATTTATTATATTTCTGGGGAAAAAAAGTTGCAATAAAAGACTTGAACATAATACCTCACATATGAGAAAAAAATAAACAAACCAATAACTATTTTGTAAAATGTATTCCTATATTTATTTCATACAATCAAATGGTATGAAAAAAAAATTGTTTAAGGGGTTGTTTGTTTACCTCTTAATAGTTTCATTAATAGGTAGTCTCTGAATCGTTAATAGGTGAATCTTGTTTGGAAAAAAAAAAAAGAGTCTGTCTCTTAATGATTCCAAAACCCTTTGAATGGTTTTGTATCCTAGGTCCCCCTTAACCATTCAGCACCCTAATTTCATTGTAAACAGTTACCAAACAATTATATTTCATTTTGAACTATATCATGAGAGCTTCTTAATCATTCTGATCACTTAATCATTCTGCACCAAATCATTCGGCAACTGACAAACATCCCCTAAGTGTATGTGGCTTAAATATATTTCTTTTCTTTTTCCCGATCTCCCTTTAAATATCCCACCAAAAACACCCGATAAAACCCAATTAATACATCTTGAAAGCAAAGCAAAAATGGATGCCACCAGAGATCAGCAGAAGCATTTTGTTCTGGTACATGGTGCATGCCATGGCGCCTGGTGTTGGTTCAAGCTCAAACCTCTTCTCGAAGCTGCCGGCCACCGTGTCTCCGCCTTTGATCTCTCAGCCTCCGGCACCAATACCAAACTGATACAGCAACTGACGTCACTTTCCGACTACTCTTTGCCGTTGCTGGAATTCATGGCCACCATTCCGCCTGAGGAGAAGGTGGTGTTGGTGGGCCATAGCCTCGGTGGCATGAATATAGCGCTCGCCATGGAAAAGTTCCCGGAAAAAGTCTCCGTCGCCGTCTTTCTCACTGCCTTCATGCCGGATTCCTTACACAAGGCTTCATATGTCATAGACGAGGTAATTAATTTTCTTCTAAATTAAATCGTATTTTTTTCTTATTAAATTTAATTTTATTTACACATTAAGGGGGTGTTTGGGACTATTCATATAAACAACTTATTGACTTATTCCAGTGTGGCACCGGTAATAAGTACTTTTGAGTGTTTGGATAAACAATTTATACCGATGTCAAACCGGTAATAATGAGTTTTTAAATAAGTTAAATCTTACTAACTTATAATAAGTTGATAAGCACTTATAAACAAGCATAAATTGTTTCAAATAAGCAATCCCAAATATCCCTTAATAATCTTTAATAATATATTAGCAACATTGAATATAAATTATAATAATTTTTTATTTTTCGTATTTTATAATCTGTAATATTATTTTGATATTGATTTTGAAGTATAACGAAAGGACTCCAGCGGAAGCTTGGTTGGACACACAGTTCTTGCCTTTCGACGAAAACGATGTCGAATCGGAAACGTCAATGTTTTTCGGCCCCGAATTTCTATCGAACAAGCTCTATCAACTTTGCTCAAATGAGGTAATTACAATTTCCGCCTTTTGTGATATCTTTAATCACCAGATGAAATTATTGAGGATTGACAATGTAATTTATTATAACGTAGGATCGTGAATTGGGGAAAATGTTGATAAGACCTGGATCGTTATTTCTAAAAGATCTACGTAGCGGATTACAATTTACGGAAGAAGGGTATGCATCTGTACAACGAGTTTTCATTGTATGTGATGAAGACAAGGCCATCGAAAAAGAATTTCAACGGTGGATGATTGACAACAATCCTGTAGCTGGGGTGAAAGAGTTGAAAAATGTGGATCACATGTCGATGTTGTGTGACCCAAAGCAGCTCAGTGTTTGTCTTCGCGACATTGGAGGTCGTTATGCATAATTGAACTTTATGTTCATCTATTATTTTCAAGAATAATTCATGTGGCACTTTATTGTACTTATTGTCCTATTTAAACAATAAGAAAAATATTTCAATATTCGAATCCAACTAAAATATGACACGTAGTTTTGGTTGGGGACTGGTGGTAAAAAAGTTCAACAAAAAAGTCGTGAATCAAGGTTTGTGTTTGACGTCATATTGAATTCATGACTCGTCATCATAGACGGATCTAGAGGGGTGGTTAGGTGGTACGTGTCATCGTATTGTTCTTTCGTGGTAAGGTAAAAAAAAATTAGGTTCGTGAAATGTGCAACCGTTTTATATGGTGCTACCATATCAAAAAATTCTTGGGTCCGTCCCAGTCGTCATGAGCCAATAAGAAGTTTATGTATCGTGGTATTTGATTATTTTATCTTTTTAATGTTCAAATTTTTCGGTTTTTTAATATATATAACTTAATTTAAATTGTTTAATAATATTGACTTATTGTATAATAGTAGAAGATATATATATATATATATATATATATATATATATATAGAGAGAGAGAGAGAGAGAGAGAGTTTGTTTCAAATACAACCCATCGTATTTGTATAACTAATGCAACCCCATATATGAGATATTTATAGAAATTATGAGAGTTCATTTATTATTATTTGAATATTTATGGAAGATGAATATGGTTCATTAATTATGATCGATACTTTTATATTAGGAAACAATAAAAACTTATATTAAATCACATATTAATCAAATGAAATAAACGGTTGAGATTGAGTTGTATTGGTTGTACAAATGTCAAAGGTTATATAATAACCCCTCTCTCTCTTTCTCTCTCTCTCTCTCTCTCTCTCTCTCTCTCTCTCTCTCTCTATATATATATATATATATATAGACTTGGGATCATGTGAGACCAATGATTTTTCGTGAAACCCGTAAGACCAATTCTCAACGTTTGGATTAGATCTACAATCTGAAGCTGCCGTAAGACCACGAGACTTCTCAATAATTACAAAATTGTCATTCGTGCAATTTAGACCATTAGATCATTA